GCTCGAACGGAGCAGAGAAGAGAAAACAGGCCTGTTATGTCCGAATTTATTCCCGATCCTCTGAATTTTTATACTTTTTCTCTCGTCGATATCATTACAAAGATCGATTTCCACGATCGGCCTGACGAAACATCGAACCGGACCGAGTTTCCCGATTAATTTCCACGAATTAGCTAAATCGCGCGTAATCGGGCGTCGTCGTTGTTTGTTTCTTCGAACTCTGGTTCCCTAAATGATTCGAAGTTCGTCACGTAGGATTTTCTAGTATATAAAGCGAACGATTCGTGACGTGCTTAAAGTATTCGCGAATCAGTATCTCCTCGCACCTTTCGCCGACGTATGTAACGCTACGGGGAGGGCAGAAAGAAAAGCGGGAGAAAAGGGGGTGGCTAGGGTGTCCCAGAAGAACTGAGGCGCCGGCGGAATATCAACGAGAACACCATCGTACATGACAAAGAGCGTTATTCCTTCCGGTACTACCGCTCCCGGAAAGGGGAAGATACATCAACTCCTGTGTCATATAAAAATGTGTTTATGCGCCGCGCACTGGGAATAAAAAGACGGTGGATGATGGCTAAAAGTATTCCGGATAACGATAAAGTTTGGTTCCGCAAATTTCTGGAAATAACGGGTCAACCGAGATATTCCAGAATAATGAATAAAAATTCAAGAGACGGAGGACGAACGATGCGAGAAAATAGGAGATTTGGATATTTGACGATTTTGGGTTCCGAAATGAGACGCAAATGGGAATCTAGGAAGCAGAGGAGTGGGAAAAGGGTGCACGATGGCGCGTGGAAAAATGGAGTTTGCGAGACGAAAATCGCCAAGACTGGACGCGGAAATGATCCTCATCTTCGTACATCGTCGAGGCGAAATTCCCAAAAATACGAATTTTCCCCGAAAGTTCGTGATCGTTCGTAGAGGAACAAGAAAATACGAAACGAAACACGAGCACGACGATTAAAAACATAAATTTGTGCCTCCGTTATGAATAATAAACAGTTCCATCAGACACGATGGAATATCTACGAATCAGCTACTAAGGATGAAGTTATTCGTAGGATCGGCGTAAAGGGTAAGAAGAGCCTTTTTATCGTGGATGAATGACGAAATCGATGACGAGAGAAGGGAAAGAAGAAGAAAGAGAAGAAGATGACTACGGAAGGGAAGGAGAAGAACGATCGATGCAAAGGACAGAGACGTCAGGATTTGGGATTTTCGCACGTGTTTTCAGCCTCGTCCGTGCGATTCCCATAATCCCAGGTGGCCGTTCTCCCCCTCGAGGAGAGCCGCACTCGAGATTTCTTTTTCCGTGTAAAAGGAAACGGAATTGAAATCGGCTTTTCGAAATTGCGCGCCACCCTCGTGGCTCAGCTTCTTCTCCCCGGAGAGAGAAATGCAAACACGACTTTGCTGATGGCGCAGCTCGATCGAGAAACGGGGGAAAAACGAAGACGATCGCGTGGATTTACAAGGATACACGAGAAGGGATGAATGTGTCAGCCTTGGTATGGTTCCCCGACCCTCGGATCTCGAACCGAAAACGCAAACTGTCTAGCTTTTCCCCTTTGAATTTCGACGATCTTTCTAATAATCGACGATCCGTTAAGAACGCCAAGGGCGTAAGGGGTAATTTAAACCGTCAATTTTGAGAGAAAAATATATGAACCCTTTGCACTACGATGACGAGTGTCGTAAAAAGTTCATGTGAAATATCACAATTTGTCATGCACTACATTTGTCATGCGAGCAAAATCATATTTACCGTATTTCAACGCGTTTAATCCTTTAATATTTGAAGAAATTCTGAAATTTTTGTACAATTTTATCGTGAATGAGATAAAGGTATAGTGATTAATTAAAATTAAATTCTTCTTCCATACGCAATATTTCGTAATTAAATCATAGCGCGAGGGGCTAATGGATATAATCGCCTTGTGTAGTTTGTGTTAATTAAAAGACGAGGAGCGAATCATTTAAACGTTCGACTATCTTACGCTTTAATTAATAGCTCAAAATTCTTGCTAATAATAAACAAATATAATTGGAGAAATGAAGAATAAATAAAAATTCTTGATTTTATAAATTGCGGTCGAGACATTACCGATAATAATTGATCCTGAATCAACTACGGGTAAAAATTTCCACTCCAATGTTTTCTATTACGTTAGTAATAAATATACGTAATAAGTGTTTCGATAAAAGTATCGAAGATAGTAGATATATACACACATGCATCTAATAAATAGTTACTGAACGATAATATATGCTTAGGGTAAATTTAATCAAATTCATTAACAACTATATTATACATGACCATAGATAAGCAAAAATAAAAGTTTACGATGATATTTCTTAATAAATTGGATACTTAATAAACTTGGTACTTTTATACTTCTAATTTTACACTAACCATAATTTTCATATATATTTATCATAATTACTCTTAATCAACAGCCATTGGCCAAACTACTATTTGGCTTTTATGTATTCATTCGTACCCTAAAAATATTTTTATATACTTTGCAGGTAAAAAGCTAATATCGTAATAGTATTAATGTTACTTTCATTTGCAAAAAGTGTAAGAATGATTACATTTCTTATAATTATTGTAATACTTTCTTTTTATTTATCCTTGAATTTTAAATGTCATATCACAAATAATTATATACGCATGCATTTTTGTTTCTTTCTTCTTATATCATCTATTGAAAATTTTTATTTTTGCTATTGATGTCCAAAGATGCAAATTAACATTTAAAAAAAGAAAAATATATAATGGACTGATGGTGGCGCCTTCCTACGGATACTCGTATAAATTAAATATAATATAGTCTATATTATTATTATTCTAAGTATTTATTACAATTTTACAAATACTGTCAAAATAGTTGTTTTTAAATGAACAATTCTGAAAGTTAGATGAAACTAAAATATACTATTGCGTAAAATAAATATACTCTTTATTTAAAAATACATGTATGTACTTACCTATTCTTAATTATATACATTCTTAATTGAAAATCTTGAATATCACTCGCACTAATTCCTATATGTATAATAATTCATATATATTGGCACTAAAGGAACATGTCTGTATAAAAGAAATGACAAAAATTCAAATACAATAAGAAACAAATTAAAGAAAAGTATGACAAAGATAAAATCTTTGTTTCTCTTACTTGCTTCTATTTAAAGAAATGTATTTTGGAAAAAAACATTTATTCTTTGTAATATGGTAAAAAAGCAGGATAAATATAACATATATTTTTAACATTTTTGTAAATAACTGCCAAGATTGAAATAAAAACACTAGAAAAGAATTTTATATTAAAACTTTTGAACTTTCCTTTCTGAAACTGAATTACTTCTATATAAACTAAGTATAAACATGTAAATGATTATTAAATTTAAATAATGCTCACTTTAATGCATTACTTTACTGTAAATGCACACATTATTGTATTTAAAAATGCAACACATCACTACAGATAATTTTCTTAACACTTGTATCACTATTTAAACAACACATTATGAAGTAGTCTCAACGGTAGTCTCAGTTAAACTGATCTTTCCTTCTACACTTGCTACGGCGAACAGCCACATCAGGGTGTACTCAATACATCCCCGAGCATCCCTGACCAATCATAGAGAATTCCCAACCAATCCCTCGACGTAGGTTCTCCATCACAAATGTTAGCAAGGGAGAACTGCTTCTACAACACAGCCTGTGACGGTTTGCACACGGAGCATGCTCCATTGGAATATTCTAAATCCCATGCTGAAAGGGGTGTGCCCTTCCGATCCTAAATGGAAAAAAGGGAAGGGAGTGTATCTGTCACCAATAATGCTGGAGAGGGTAGGTAGGTTTTAAAAAAAAATATAAGGGTTAAAAACGTGGAACATGCTCCGTCACAATGCTTTCACCCCACAATTTAAGGGGTGTCTCCTTCCCAGTCTAACTATATATAAGAAAAATAATTGTCCAATTCATAGCTTATTTTAAATTGAATTTTATTTTTATTTTCATGATATCTCTATTCTTTTAATAAAAATATGTTCATGTATTTTATATTTATGCCTGTAATATTATAATGAAACTAATCAACTAAAAACGTGTATTAAAGTAAGACAAATACATTAAAAACTTATAGTCAATATCTTTCCAGCTGGCACACCCTTTTTTAGCAGCTACCCCTTTTTTTAGAGATAAAAGGGGTGACTAGTACCCCTTTCAAAGGGTTTAAGGTATAAGGGGTGATCTAATGTTGCAAAAAAAAAATACTTGTGCCATGTCAGACTACCCTTCTGTCATACATATACATTGAAGAAAACTTAATAAATATTTACATACAACTAAATAATTTACTTTAAAAGCCATTAAAATATTATATAAATAATTGAATTTTTGTATAGTATTTATAAAATATATAAACATATTAATTCATAATTCACACGTAAAGTTATTAACATACAAAATATTTGTTTCTATCTTTATACATATTTAAAAATGATATCTAATTAATAAAATCTGAAAAAATAACCTCACGTAAAACAAAATTACGACATAACCTAAAAAATTAGATATTTTATAAGATAAATACGAAGGACCTGATAATATTTTTGAATGAATATTATATTATGAATAAAACAAATTAAAAAATATAGAATACAAGGTACCTGAAAAAAACTATTGCTTTCTTTTTTTTTAATTTCTACACTATACGTTTCGTATTTTTATTATATATCGCAAACGATGAATCTTTAAAACTATAGACATATGAGTATATAATTACAATATACTTTGAATTTGATAAGAAATTAATAATAAAGCAAAAAGAATTTATTTTGCATTCGATAAATAACGTAGAAGTTTTCTTTATCGACAACACACGTTTAAAACTAGTTCTACATATTCCCTTTAAATACTTGCCATCCTTCACGTATTAGTTGTCTGCTATTTAACGATGAATGAAATCTAAATTAAATTGACATAATATTACCGGAAAGATGACATTGTATCATTTTGGGAATTGTTTAGCTTTAGTTTATGTTCCATATTACCTTACTTATAAATATTCAGGCTTGTAAGTATATAAAGACTGTTTCTAACCTATTTGTCGTTATGATCATTGTTTCCAAATTTATTTCTATTTCAGTAACTGTACTCATACATGCTAATAGTACATAAGAAATATTAGCTATAATTTAAATTTTAGATATTATATGAATAAAATATTTCAAAACATGTATAAAAATTTTTAGATCAGAGTATGGTGCATTTTGGAAATGTATTCAAGCTGGAGGTATTTATGTATTTACACAATTAGTAAAAATGTTGGCACTTGCAACTTTCTTCCCTACAACAGACAATGTAAGAGGTGAAGGTTTTGATTTAATTGGTGTATGTATTTATATTTTTAATTGGTTTATATATATCACTATAAATATGTTATTAATTAATATTTTTAGCATAAAATTAACTTTATAGGAATTTTTAAAATCTTCAATAGATTTAGCTGATTTAGTAGGAATACTATTGGTATTAAACAGTATACCTGGTAAAGGGCATGCAAAAGTTTTAACTGCTGGAGTGGGATGGGCTGGAGCTGAAGTATTACTCACTAGGTTCCTACTATTATGGGTAGGAGCCCGGGGTGCAGAATTTGATTGGAAATACATTCAGAAGAGTCTTGAATCTAATATTAATTTAGTAAGTAATATTATATAATACTACATACTTTACAAAAAACGTTTTTTTTCATTAAAAATTTGTCTTTTAATTTGTATAGGTACAACATATAACTACAGCAACACTCGTGTGGTTATGGTCAAGACATGATTTAAAACGAGGTTTAGTTCCTATAGTAATTGGTATGCTTATACTTACAATCTATAGACCACTTATTTTAGATTTTCTCGTTGTAATTTCCTTAACTGGCCCGTGGTCAACTCTCGTTGTTAAAGCTATTACTACTTTTATCATGGGTATTACAACACTATATATGTATGCAGGTCTTGCTCATTCTATAGGTATATTTTGAAGAATATTATATTATGTATTTCAAAATATTAATATTTTAATCATGCTTCTTTATGCATTATTAAATACATTACAAAATAAATCTTACTTCAATAATAAATTATATATATCATTACCTTATTAATTTCTTCTTTTATATAAAAAAAAAGTTCTTTTACTAACAAACAAATTCAATTGCATTAATATAGTATAATAGTATAAAACTAATCCTTTATTAATCATATGTTTATGTTTCCTTATATGTATTGTTCAGGCAATAAGTCAACAGACTTCTTTACCCTTTAGGTACAACATGTTACAAATACAGAAATTAACAAATGTTTTAATTTAATAGATACCAAAATAAAAAATCTGATTTATTTTCTGATCATTCCAAGACAAAGTGGAGAAAAATACATTTTTAATTTGCAAAAATATTCAGATACATTACAAATTTAGATTATTAAACTAAAATAATGACTTTGGCAGAGGTTTATAATCATTTTTATGCAAAAGAATTTAACTACTCAACAGTCAGAAAAAAAATACGTACTAGAAACAAATGATAAAATAAGAATAAAACTTAAGAGTGTATTATTAGTAAAAAATATCTTTTAATTTATTTATAAGCTTAAAATGTATAATGGAACCAAGGATCTATTAAATCCAATACTACTTAACTTTTACAAAAAATTACTATTTTAGTTATTTTAACTTAAATTTATTATGTGTTTAGATATTCTTGTGATATGGAAATTTACACCCTTCAGATATTTTTTTAAATATTTAAATAATCTGATCTACTAAATAAAAAATGTTATATGTTCTAATTTATGTACTATATTTTAATATACTATTAAATATTTTTATTAGTTTAGATATTCTAGTGTCTAAATATTTTTATAATCTACTGTATGTAGAGAGTACATCTTATTCAGTAGTAATTTCTTGTGAAGAGAACAGATCATGGAAGTGAGTAGACATCCATATTTTTATATCCCAATAAGTTCACTTCCAGCAAGAATAGAAATATGTGGATGAAGTTATAAATAATTTACCTATCAGTCAAAGTGTAGTTAAATATTATTATTATATTTTTAATTAAATTTACAATTGTTTCAGTATTCTTCTGGCAAATAAAAATGTTTCCACAATCTAATTTAAATATTACAAATTCATTCTTTGATTCGAAGAGATTAACATCTTTTATTATAAACTACCCACTTTTATTATAAAATACATAGCTGAATGTAATTAGAAATCCCAACTTTTATTCAATCCTCATACATTCTATTGCTTAATAGATTGCATTAATATTATTGTTTCTATGATCGTTATGTTTATCAATAAAATCTTCAAATTGTGGCAACAGTATATCAAATAAATATAGGACATAAATATAGAAAAAATAAATAAATAGTTAATGTAACCTGCAAAAGTAAGCCATTTTTAAACACATAATACTAAAATCTGTGTATTACTAACATTAAGGTCATGATTTTTAGATCCCACATGTAAAAATTTGTTGAATTAAGGAAAAATATTTTAATAAGTTTTGGTCCAGAAAAATAAAGTTTTATCTCAATTATATTATAGCTGTAGCCTGTATAATGGCATTTACTTAAGGTTCAAAAAACCAATTTTTAAGGTAAAACATTTCGTCAAGGATATCTAGTGTAATAAATAAGTTTCTAATTAATTTATATGTACATTCAAATTTCTAAAAGTTATTAGTCAGTTTTTAGTACTACGAATAATATCACGAACAGCTAAAAATACATGAGTATTCAGTAATATTCTAATCAATTTGTACAACACGTTTTATTTATATTATTTATTACAATTATACTCGTAAGGAAAAAATGTAAAGAATATAAATTTTATCTATATTATATTTGTGTAGTAATAATATGCTTTACAAAAAATAATTTCAACTGAAATGTTAATTCATCTATCGTCTACAAGTTTTTGAAGGTTATGTTACCAAAAATAGAACTGTTTAAGAAATGGCCAAAATATTAAACATTTTTCGAACTATACGAAATAATTGGAAAAAGTCCCTTGTAGGAGGTGCAGCTTTATCATATGGAGTTACATACAGTAAGGAAGTGTATGAGTAAGATACGACTTCAAATTATATAAAAAGTTTCATTATTCTTTAATATAAACACAATTAAAATCATTTTAATTACAATAATCTTATTTTTCATTAAAATTAAAAAATGAAAAATGAAATATATATCATTTTCGTAATTGGTAAATTCATTTTATTATAAATATAATATTACAAATTTTAATATTTTTAGCACTGATCAATTAATGAGGCAATATTGTGAAAATGTATCACAATATGGAGACCTTCCTCTTCCAACAAATATAAAACCACGCCATGTAACCATTATCTTAAATCCAGTTGCTAAAAAGGGGTTTGATTATATTTGATTTATAAATTAAGATTCTGTTTATAATCTAATCAGTAATTAAATATTGTTATTATTTATAGGAAAGCAAAAAAATTATTTCAAAATTATTGTGAACCGCTTTTGCATTTAGCTGGAATTGCTGTAACTGTAATACAAACAGGATCACAAAATGATGCTCGAAAAATTATAATGGACTTAGATACATCTACTGATGCCATTGTAGTAGCAGGGGGAGATGGTACTTTATCCGATGTTTTAACTGGATTAGTAAGGAAATACAATCTTAATCCTAATTCAATTAAACAATGCCCAGTTGGTATTTTACCATTGGGAGAAACAAATAAAGTTGCAAAATCTTTATATCATGAATATGATGATTTATCTGATGCAAAACAATTAATAGAGGCAACAATGGCAATCATAAATGAGGAATTTAAAATGATGGATATGATTGAAATTAAACCTATTGAAGTGGGTTTCTGTCATATACGTAATAAATATTATATTCTTTTATTTATTTAAAATTCTATAGTTATTTTATAATTAAAGGATAATACTGAGGAACCAGTAAAACCTATTTATGCTATGGGAGCAGTTGAATGGGGTGCATGGAAAGATGCAAATGCTTTTGCTAATAAATATTGGTACTGGGGCCCTTTAAGAAAGTATATATAACTATTCTTTAATATTTTGAAACTTCTATGTAAATTTGTATCATCTAATACCATACACATACTACACAGATATGCAACTTACATATTTAATGGTTATAAAGAAAATTTAAACCAGTATTGTGATGCAAAGTTAGAATATACACTTCCTTGTGAAGGTTGTTCACGTTGTACTCAAAATAATTCATCAATGGGTGGATTTACCAATTTAAATACAAGGTGGTGGTATGTATTATTCCAGTACATATGGCATCTATTTGTTCCAAGAGGTACTGTTACTAAAGGTATGTTTTGATGTATTTAGTATACATAATACCTAAAAGTAACTATTGAATGTTATATTTTTTAGATGGTATTGATTTCAGTAAAATAATAAATGAAAAATGTGACATTCTTTATGAACTACCTATATCAACAAGTGAATTGCATATAGATACTTCGAATATATATAAATCACAAATTGAATCATTATCATCGTTAAAAATAAAAATGGGTAATCAAATGAATATTTTGTGTAACATAAAATTTTTGAAAAATTTTCACACAAAATATTATTTCTATTGTATTAGGTCCAAAGGATATTAATTACTATTCTTTTGTGTCTGAAGGATGGAAAAAAGAAAAAGATAACAAATCATTTTGTAACCAAGTAATAGAAGCAAAGAACATTAAATTAACTCCACAAAAGGTAAAATTATCAGTATTTTCAAAATTTTAAATATTAATGTTATTTTACTATATACTGGTTCGTTTATAGGTTGATAAATATTCCACATTATATATTGACAATGAAGAGTACGAACTAAAAGCAGTTGAAATTAAGTTGCTTTCACGAGCAGTAAAAGTATTTTGTTCATAATTGAACTGAAAAAAAAATAATATATGACTTATTATAATAATCAAAAGCTATTTATTTGTTTTAAACCTTCATCTTTTATGATATTAAAAAAAAATTAAGTATTAATAAAAAAAATTAACAAAAATTTTTATTTTAATTATATATTATAAAAATAATTTATTTTTGCATATAAAAGATATATTGTTATCATTCGAACATGACGAGTATATAATCTATTTTTACATACTTTGTAATACTTGTATGTCGTGTCATATCTGCCTTAGATTATGACATTTAATAATTTTACGTCCTATTAACTTTTTATAAGGTACCACATCGTAAATAATAGAAAGCGCGCTGAAGTTTGTATCACATTGATCGATTAATTGTTGAATATAATTTTGCGTTTTTTATAAAACATATATATATATATATAATCAAAGTTTTATACGAAATTTAACACAGATAAAATGCAATATAACAACCAAGAAAATTCGTGGCTATTTCTAAGATTTTGTGGAAGGTATTACATTAGCATCATCACAACATATATTTGTTTCACAGTCCTTTCCAGTAATTTTAAAAAAATTTAATAAAGAGAGAGCTGGACTTCTTGGTACTTTAGATATTTTCTGCGGTTCTGTCGATCGTGATCTAGTATTTCTCCTAGCAAACGTTATGTAAGAAACTGGGCTAGTCAATTTTTCTGACACTGTTTTCCTCACTTTTTGTTCATACTTTTCTTTTCGTATTCTTGTTAACCAATCAACATTTTCTTTGTATTTCTCTGGAGATAATTGAAGTAAATGTGGCGCTGTACCGTCAATTACAAAATTTGGAAGATTTAATGTAGGTGAAAAACGAATTTCACTACTTTTATTTTCTATATTGGATGAACTTGTACTTGGTTCATCAGATTCGTAACCTCTGTTCAATAATAAACTATTATCATTACATGAACTAAATAATCTCCGTGCACCACGATTTTCTAAATGGACACGTTTTGTAACGAATGTAAGATTTTCTTGTATAGGAGATAAAACTGATTTAACTTTTCCATCAGACCATGATCCACACATCATTCGGGAATAACTTCTTTTCATTGACGCAATATTATTGCATTGATTTTGATTATCTTCTATTTGATTGTAAGCATCTGATGAGCTTGGTCCAGGTGTAGCATCTAATGAAAGAAAAATAACATTGTTAACAATATAATAATCATAATATTTTTATCATTTTATAATTACATACTAGGTGTTGTATCAGACCCCGGAGTGTGTTCTTGAGATGAAACCCAACGCCGCGTAACTGTAGGTGTAGTTTCGAGTTTTAGATTTTCTAACGGATTCTTATTAAAAATCGCTTCTGCGCGACCACGTATTTGTATTTCTTCATTATCTAGTTTATGTTCATAACCAACTCTCCAAATTCGGTGACATGAATCGTCAGAACATGTTACTATCTACATGATTTTCAATGATATTAATATTAGGTTTAACAAACATTAACTTCAGAAAACGTAATAACATTTTTACTAATACTTTTGTTTCTCCAACGTTACACCAGGCAATGCAAGTAACTTCTTCTGTATGTCCGGAGAGTTGTACAACTGGGGCTCCTGGTTTATTTGTACGCCAAATATATGCAAGTTCATCACTGGAACCACTGGCAATATAACGTCCATCAGGACTTAAACATGTCTTAACATAATATGTACGATTTTGATGCCCATAGAATTCCGCAACTAATATGCAAGAAGATAAGTAATATAAATATTATATTAAAATTTAATATTAATAATTTTTTATTATTATTCTTACTTGGTTTTGAATTATAAGATGATATATTATATGCATATATAATATTATCCATGCAACTTGCATATAATGTAATTCTTGCAGGACATATTAATAATGATGAAAATCCATTCCTTGTACTATGTCCAGTGTAATTCATTGTATGTTTGGCCAAGGGATCTTTTTTATGAACAGTATAGTTTTTACGTAAATCCCAAACTTTTATCAAACTATATCAATAATGTTAATATTACTTTATTTTTTCATGTATATTTATCTAAATATACATATATTTAATTGAATTTACCCATCTCCAGCAGCACATGAAAGTAAAGTAAAATCATCTTGAAATGCCAAACCAGTAATGCTTTGTGCTCGGGATGCATGACAGATTGCTCTACGTTGCCGCATATTGTTTATAGTTCCAACATTATGTGCATTGGCAATACAATTATCTGGTTTAGGTCTTTCATAATGATTAGCTCTAATATCCCAAACCATTATAGATCCATCTCTAGCTCCGGTTGCAAATACAGCTAAAATATATATCTTTTTTAATTAATATTTTATTTTGTAAAATGTAAAAACATGCTGAAACCAAAAAACCTTGGTCTTGGTAACGAAACACTGCAGTCTTAACACTTCTTGTATGAGCATGAAAATAATCAATTTGTCTTATTTCAGAACCAGATACATCCCATAGTCTAGCAGTATGATCCCCAGATGCTGTAACTAATTTTAATTCTCCTGGCATCCAAGCAATATCAAATATTGCATTACAATGTGCCTGAAAAATATTGATCTATTATTTTTATAGTTTGTTAATAATATATTCTATAAATAAAAAAATCTATTTGAATAATCTATAATTTGTATTTATCTGATTACAATTTTCAATATATATTATTTTGATACAACTTATTGATAATACCTGTGTTCCTTCCAATGGTTGATTTGACATACTTTTGATATTTGTATCTTGTAATGCAATTTTTCCATCTTCATTTGCTAAAGCAATTATTTGTTCGTATCCCTCTGTAGTGCAAAATCGACAAGCAAAAACTGGTGGTTCGGGATTAAAATCTAATGCATTTATGTTTGGTGTTATACCACGATATACATCATCTTCGTAACATTTCAAACGATATAAAGCAACATCATAATCACGTATTAATACTGAAAAAATTTTTCATATTTTTTCAAAATTCATATTTTATTTTTACAAATAAATATCATATACGAAGCCCATAAATAATACACTTAACATTATGTTAACTATAATACTAAATTGAATTACGTATAACCTATCATATTGTATTTCCAAAATACTTAAATTGTTCATTATGTATGGTCATAAAAAGCAAATTACCAGATCCTTTCTCACGTTCCACAATAGAATGCACTAAATTCATTCTGAAACTACATGAAATTAATATTTGTTACACAAGAGTGTAAATTATTTATACATGAAAGTGTTAGCGGGAAAATCTGTCAGTTTTCCCGCACTTCTGGTATAAGGCAATTTCTATGTAACGATATTTGATCACGTTAGGCAAGTATATAAGTAATAGCAAAAATACTTTACAAACAAGACTAAAGTACAGATCAAAGTACATGTTACATTAAATACTTGCTAGTATATGTTAACAAGAAAAAGTAGTGACACATAGAAGAATAAAAGAGAATTTTAAATATTAATAAAACGAAATTAATTACAAACATGCTTTCTCTTACAAAAAGTAATTTCTTTATGGAGAAAGGATTTGTTAAATGTGGTATGTTGAATTAATTATATTTTTTATAGTCTAAATATTGCATAAAAATAAAAATAATACTAATAGACGGTTTTGAATTATTTAAGTACAAAGTACAAAAACGAATATTTTAAAATCAAAATTATTGAATAATTAGTTATAAATATTGATATTACTTCTGCAATATGATAATTTTTTACGTTATTTTTTGTAACTAATATTAATTAATATATTAATTAATAAACATAAGAAATATTTATTACTTAATATTTAAAATATAATAAAATAGGTATAATTATTTTTAAGTCTAAATCACATTTCTGAAATATATTGTGATTGTGTGATTTATTTTTAATTCAGGTTCTGTAATTAATTATTTCAAAACAAGTAAATTATATGCAAGTAAAAGTAGTAATACTGCTAAAAATATTGTATACATTGATGGTGTGAGAACACCATTTTTACAAGCTGGAACAAGTTATAAAAATTTGATTTCATATGATCTTGCTAAACAGTCATTGGTGTAAGTTGATTAAGACTTTTGAATTTGTGTTGGTGTAAGTTAATCTTTTTTTATACTAATTTAATTATTATAAATATTTATCATGTTTCATGATAAGGGCCTTGCAGAGAAAAATTAAATTTCCTAAAGAAATTGTAGAATATATTGTTTATGGAACAGTATTGCAAGAAGTAAGAACTTCAAATATTGCTAGAGAAGCAGCTGTGGGAGCAGGATATAGTAATCGTATTCCTGCACATACTGTAACTATGGCATGCATCAGTAGTAACCAAGCTCTTACAACTGGGATAGGTTTGATTGCATGTGGTGTATATGATGTAATCATTGCGGGTGGAGTAGAATTCATGTCAGATATACCAATTAGACATAGCAGACAAATGAGATCACTGATGTTACAAAGTAATAGAGCAAAAACAATTAGGAACAAGTTAGCACTTCTCGCTAACGTTAGACCGGCACATTTTATACCAGATGTATATTACTTTCTATCATTTATTTTTTTGTATCATTTTAATTGTACCTATTTATATAGTATATCTAATTATATTTATATAATTATAGTTACCTGCAGTAGCAGAATTTACTAGTAATGAAACAATGGGACATAGCAGTGATAGATTAGCAGCTGCATTTGGAGTATCAAGAAAAGAACAGGATGAGTATGCTTTACGATCACATACTTTAGCTGCTAAAGCACAACAACAAGGTTATCTTACCGATGTAGTTCCCTATAAAGGTAATATCAAATGAAATTGAATAAATGAAATAAATTAATTAATTTAAGTATCTATCCTAGTTCCAAATGTAAGTGAGGTAGTAAACAAAGACAATGGAATTCGTGTTGGAACACTAGAGCAATTAGGAAAACTAAAACCAGCATTTGTTAAGCCGTATGGAACAGTTACTGCTGCAAATTCTTCTTTCTTGACTGATGGAGCATCAGCTGCTTTAATAATGACAGAAGAAAAAGCCCTTCAACTTGGTCTTACTCCAAAAGCATATCTAAGAAATTTCATTTATGTCTCTCAGGATCCTATCGATCAATTGCTCTTAGGACCAACTTATGCTATACCACAGGTTGTAACACTTTATTATTTTATATATCTTTAAAATTTGATCACATAATGTTTTAAAAACAAATTGTAGATATTACAAAGAGCAAAATTAAATGTTAAAGACATTGGAGTATGGGAAATACATGAAGCTTTTGCTAGCCAAATTATAGCCAATTTAAAAGCATTAGATTCTGATTGGTTTGCACAAAATTATTTAGGAAGATCATCAAAAGTAGGAATACCAAATCTCGATAAGTGGAATGCATGGGGTGGATCTTTGTCAATTGGTCATCCATTTGCTGCAACTGGAATTCGATTAGCTACACATACTGCTAATCGACTTATTAAAGAAGATCAACAATTTGGCTTAATTGCAGCTTGTGCAGCTGGAGGACAGGTATAAAATGTTATAAAAAAAAGTATTATTAATGTTGTATATTTATATTGAACAAATTGATATTAATAAATATGTAACTTACAGGGTGTAGGTATGATTATGGAAAGATACCCTTCTGCTAAGGTTTAAGAGAACCTAATATTAGAAATAAGTAAATACTTCAAAAGAAATTTGCATATTGGTTTAAAGAAGTAAGCAATTTATATACAATATAATTATACTGAATAATTATAAAATATGTTATATATTTAAGGAAAATATAAAAAATATGTTATTTGATTTTTATAAAAAAAATTGTTGATGTATTACTTTATATATTTATATAATATACAATTTTTTAACAATACATCTAATTTAATGCGAGATGAAAAAGAGAAGGGAGTGATTGCTCTGTTAAATATTCTCTAACTGCATGATCTAAAATAGTTTTTATATCTTGGCATCCATATAATACACGAGTTTTTAAAGACTCAAATTGAGACAAATGCAATCTTTGTCCTGCTCCTTCTGCTACTACTATTAAACCATCTTTTGAAATACCATCACTATTTGGTAATGCAACAACAGATAAAGTAATACCAGGGACACATTCTTCAACATAATTTGCATCTAACACTCCTTTTCCTAATGCATTATTTTCTTCTTCTAAAGATGGGATGTTAATTAAAGTTATAGTGCAGCCTATAGCATAATTCTACAAAAAAATAATGATAAATAGTAATAAATTTAATTTCAGAGATCTAGTGAAAATTATACATTTGTTTTGTTTTACAGTACATTACCTTAATAGGTATTCCAGCATCGATTAGAGCAAGCGTAGCTGCATTTACAGATGCACAATATTCACTGCCATCAACTTGTAATGCTTCTACATAAATATCTATCTGCGAACGTGGATATAATTCTAAATGTATTATTGCCTCCATTGCATGTTTTAGTTGAAGAGATCTTTCTTGCGATTTCTTATCACCTCTTGGTTTTCGTTTACGTTCTCCAGAAGACAAACTAAATACTGCCATGCTATATTGACAATTTACTATACCTTTCGTTACTTTACTTGTATTCCTTCCTGTAGAGCCTCTTGGCTAAATAAATGTAATATTAATCATATATGACTTAATATACGATATTAAAGTTATAAAATATGACGTTAACCTGATGTGGTCCGTAAACCGTAACCAAAATTTTAGTGTTACCATGTTCAATATAAGCACTTCCGTCAGCTTGACCAAAAATCCCCATTTTTATACGAATTTGTCGTAATTCTAACGCTCGTCTACCATCTGGACGTAATCCATTTTGATCTTCAATAGTTTCAGCTTCGATCATATTTTTTCCAAAATTTTGAAACCAAGAACTAACCTGTACCTAACCTACAATTAGACCAATCTTACTTGATCGATTGATCTCAACTAAGGGGTCAAGTAAATGTTATATCCTTTTACATGAGTTAATTTAAAATTATAGTATTTATGAAATATAAATATTTTTATTTTATTTTTCAATAATGTTTATATTTCCATAATTGTTTAATAACATTTTTTCAATTTTTTTTAGAATATTAAATAGAAAATAGAGGCTGTAAAATATACGTAAAACAGCGAACCATCAAATAACAAATACACAATTATATATATATCACTTTATTACATTTTTATCTTTTATGAACATTAATATATTTTAATTTATTTTTCTTTAACATACATTATATTTATACTATAGCTCCCAAATTTTGTAATAAGTCTTGCTTATCTTGAAAATAATTTTTATACCATGTTATGTGATCATATTTTTCTTGAAATGTCATATACGGATTTTTTGAAAGTCCAATACATACTAATTCCATAAAATGTCGTATTGGACCTTTATTAGGACACCACGGAGTCAAATAATGTTCCAAAAACACATGCTTCGAAAAATGTACATTTTGCTCTTTCTCCATTCCTGTTCCATGAAACATATTTATGGATTCTATATATATAAATAATAACAGTATATTTAACTTTATATTAATACCTTGTTCATTATCTATAGGAAATTTCCATAATTTTCCCTCTTCTGTCCATTGAATCATTTCTTCAAATGCATTTGTAATAAAGGAATTTTTTATGAAGTACAATCTACTCTTTTCCATTTCATCCCAGATTTTAAGCTTAACACCATCCTTCACTTCTCCATGTTTATGAAAAAGATTGACTTTTAAGTCCATATACGGGTTCCCATATCTGAAGTCCACAAATTTTGTTTGTTATTTAAACTATAATTATTTTAATTATTTTTAATGAAATATACAACCTATCGTTATCTGTCTTTTGCTCTAATGTTTTATTTATTACACTGTTTGCCCTGTTAAATTTATAATTGCTTTTATCTCTTTTTAAATTATTGTTTGTTTCATATTGTTTCTGTATTAATTTTGCTTGGATTTTCTGATTATCTATCAATGTCTGTAGTACAGATGGTTTTTTTAAGTCAAAATATTTCCATTGTTTTTCCGTGTTTCTGATATTTTGGGTTTCAAATGATTTTCTTTTCAGTTTTTGATTGTATTCATTTTTTAACATCCCTATTATAGAAGGTTCTTTTTTAAAGTTATTTTCAATATGCTGCTTCTTACTTTGATATGATTTGATATTTTCTACTGTTGTCTTTGTAAATTCATTTTGTCTTTTTGGAATATTATTATTTGAATTTTGAATATTACTTATATTATTTAACAAATTTGACATAACTTTTTGTCTGTCTACTTCTGATGGTGTCATAGTTAACATTTTTGCTGTTGTACTCAATATTTGGTCTGTAATATAAAATTCATTGTATTATTATAGTTATTTTAAAATAAATTATAAGCTTACCCATTTTTCTTCTTTCTTTATTTCTGTTGGCATTTTGTAAATAATTAGTACTTTTAAAACTTTTAGAACTCTCCTAAAAACAGAGAGAATATAGAATATATATACATATATATTAAACAAAAAGTTTATTAAAAGTAACAAAATGTTTACATTACTAATTCTCTTTGAGAAAGGAGTATCACTATCAGAATCTGAATCAGAAGAAGAATCAGATGATGATGAATTACATCTTATTATATCGAATGTAACGTTTAACCTTTGAAATGACAATGTAATTTGAGTTTTAATATTCCTACAATCAATGATTACAAATATTATTAATTTTATTTAAAATTAGGAAATTATTACAATCATTAAAATGGCAGAAATAAATATTTACTTCGAGAGAAGATGTGTAGCTAGCATTGTGTTATATTATTATTGGCTTTTTATATATTCTTTTATTCTGTTATTCATAAGTCTATAACATAAATTGAATTAAATACTTCATTCTTATGTTATGAACTTGTATTGAATACATTAAACATTAAACGAATAAAACTTTAAATTTTTTTTATTCTTAGAATATATTAAATTTGATACGTGTTATCTAATAAAACAATATTTGACAAAATTTTTCTTTCATAAAAAGCAAGTATTGCTCACTTAACCTATAGATACACGGTTATATTCATGGAAACGTGTTTGAATCTCTTGAAGCAAGTCGAATTTACAATCCAGAAGCTCTGAAGTTAATTTAGATGAAAAATACATTTTATGCACTTTCAAACTATTTTATTTTAAATCAAAAATAGCAATTTTTTTTAGATAAATATTTTGGTTTTTCTTTGGTAAAAGAAAAAAATAAAATTAACATTTTCTGGTAAACTACAATTATTTTTTACCCCCTTTATACACTATATTTCAATATTACTTTTAGAAAACAGAATGATTTATTTTACAGGTTTATAATTTATGAAGCTATTTATTGTATATACATAACAATATAATATAGTTCTTATTTCTGCTCTAAAATCGTGGAAGAAAGTATTTTATTAAGTATTAGAAAGTATTAAAGGTTCATGGAGTTCTATATCTCTTGACAGGATCCAATAACTCGAAACTATGAATTTAAGATACAATTATAATTTATAAATTTACATTTACAAGGCTTATAGTATAATTTGGATATTAAAATAAACTTACAAAATAATGCTATCTCAAATTTTAGGTGGGCTATAATAAACCCCAACACCGCCAATCATGTAACAAAACTTAAAATATAACATAAATTGAAATTTCAAAACAATGGTAAAATTTAAAATTTATGCATTATTATACAGCAAACGAATCATAAGTTTCTGGCAAGAAGTTTACAAAATATCATTCTTCTTGACAGTTAAAAAATTTAAGAAATGATTGACAAAGAAAATTAATATTATTAAATACGTGCTATTAAGAAATTTAAGTGAGCCATATGCATAATTACAAGGCGTTTTTTATCATATTAGTTTCTAGATAATTAATTAACTTATGCTTAATATCTAACTTGTTACTGTGATTGGGAAAATAAGTCAATTTAATGAAAGGTACAGCAATAAATTACGTAAGTGAATAAATATATATCAAAATATATGGTCAATATGAAACAGGTCCTTTTATACTGCAATAGATAGAATTTCCTTCGTTGGACACATATAACTTTGGCTCTCTTTACATGCCAGGGTAATAAAAAATATCAAATGTGTAAATGTGATATCAATCAAGACGAAGTTAAATGGAGTATTATGTTTGGATCTTCCAACGTTGATAATGGTATTTCATTTTTTTCTCCTTCAATACGGGCATCTGAGACTTTTAGGAACTTAATCACCTTTTCAGTAGCAGCAATCCCACAGCTGCTTACTTCATTCTAAAATAAATTATTAAAATTTATGTAATGTTCAAAGTTTATCATAATTTTTTGCGAATATATATAAAAATTAAAATTAAAGATAATTACCGACGCTGTTAAATTCATGAAATTGAAAAATTTCTGAAGCACAGATACCATAGTAGTAAAATTATTATCTGGAAGTCTACTGCGTACCAATAATTCATAATCCTAGAAGTATATATATATATTATGTTATTTTCTTTTTTTTGTAATATTACACTATATAATTCATTACCTTATTATCCATTATTAAGTAACCAAGTAAAAGCACTACATATGCTCCTATTAAAGTATGCTCCATATGACGCCCTGCTTTTTGTAATACTACAGAAAAAATTTGTTAAATTATAGTTTGCAAAGTTTATAGTATCTTAAATTATAAATTATACATACATTTTGTGACAGTTTCTTCAATAAATTCTTCTTGAGATTTAGTTGTTGTTGATACGGTCTCTGTTTGCTCAGAATCTTTTTTACCATCTAAAATAGCATCTGTTTTTTGTTCTTCAGCACGAGCCAATTCTTCTTGTTTATAAAATAAATCGATTAAACATTCAACTCCACTTTCCTCAGCTGTTAGAAATAAATATAACATATTAAATTACATACATATGAAAATAAAGTAATATGTGAAATACTTACCATCAAAAATATTTTCTGTTGATGGAGGAGCTTTAGATTCGATAAGAAGCTGTTTATTATCGTCACATTGTTCTACTAAATTTATCAATAAAATCAAAGCCAACATCATCATATCAAAACGTTTTTCTTCGGGAAGTGACTCGGGAACGCGCAATAAAAGATACAGACTGCAATCTAAAACGCCTGGTTGCGAGCCCAGTGATTTACTTCCAAAAGCTGAAATAATTATAGAATATTACATGTTATGCACTGTAAAGATAACTCGTAAACTTCTATTTTTTTTCCTTTTTTTTTCCTTTCTTCCTTTTTTAAAACATTAGATATAACAAAATCTTACATTGTCTATTAAATCGATGTGTAAGATTAATAAGAACTTTAATGATAGCAAACAAACATTCTCTAATAACAGCACCAGTGGAAGTTTTATCACTTGGATCTATAGTAGGGTAAATAGGAATTTCTTGTCCACAAAGATGATATAAATTTGCTAAAGTGCTGACTAAAACTCCATTTTCATATTTTAATAAATATACTTGATTTTCTTCATTCATATGAGTAACCTAGAACAGTTTCAATGAAAAAAAAGAAAAAAAAAAAAAAAAAAAAAAAAAAAAAAAAAAAAAAAAAAAAAAAAAAAAAAAAAAAAAAAAAAATGTATTTCTGTGAATTTTATGTACATATATCATTATATAAGAATATATATTACTCACATTTTCTAATACACGTAAACATCTATCAACTTTACGTAATTTATCTAATAATGGATCTGTCCAGCCAGATTTTGTAATATTTTGTGTATTAATATGGCGATGACAATCTCTGATTGTTTTTACAATATGTTCTAAGCCTCCCAATTCTCTAAGTTCTTCTTTAAACCATTCACCAGCGCGTTTTGATGTGAGACTAAGAAGAGTTTCCATAGCAAGTTGACCAACCTAAGTAAAAATAATTTTCTACATATTTATTCACTTGCTTTTTATATTTTGATAATCATGTACAAAAACAATACTTGCAGTTATATTATCAAGATTTAAATGTTTTGCATGTCCTTGAGCTTGAATATCAGCGCATAACTGGCGTACTTTTTCTTTATTTTTTAGAAGTTCTGCCCGACTAAGGCCACAATCATCAAGTGCATCTTTATGACTGGCATCAGATTCTAACAAACTTAACATTAATTCTAAACAATCACGATCTAAATCCATAGCTAAACGATCTTGACTTAATACAAACATTACTGTTGCTGTACATAAAGCAAGACTCTATAAAAGCATAGAATTTCATTTAAAGTAATTTATTATTATATATATTACTAAAATTGATAAAATTTGTGTACATTATACTTTGTAACAATAAAATTTATACCTGATCCTTCGTTGCATCATGAAGAGCTTTGAAAAATTTAGCAACAGTACCATGAGCGCGTACATGCATGCGAAATGCAGGTGCCATACATTTACTTGCTAATCGTATAGCTGAAAGGCAACGAGTAGCATTTGGATTGTTTTCTCTTAAAGTATCTAATATATATTCAACATCATCATTAAACTCTTGAAATTCTCCACTTTCTTGAATTTGATGAGCTTTTTTCACATTTTTTACTACAGTATAGAACTAAAAAGGTAAGTATTATGTAATTTATCAAATTTTTTGATAAATTTAATTGATTATAATATACAAATTATATAATGTACATACACCCTTTATTTTTTTGCCACAACGAACACTAGTTATAGCATCAGATTCATCTTCAAAACCTGTATTATCTTCAGGATATGTTACAACTCTTGTTAGTTGTGAAGAAACAAATTCTTCTTCATATGTTACAGGACCTGTTCCAGTATGAGATCCTGAAGCTATAGTAGGTGTACTATTTCCAACATTAGAATTATCTGTGGTATTAGATTCTTTATCACTATCACACCACTTGTGTATGTACAATGCTCTTCTTTTATTTCCATTTGTTGTACCTGTTGAACGACTTTTAAAAATACTACCTTTCTTAGTAGCAGGTTTCTGAATAGTTGTACATGGAATATTTAATGGTTGTGATTCTGTGATTGTACTTGTTACATGTAATGCTATATCACTTTCTGCATTACCACTTACACCTTCACTATCGTCACTCCCAGAGAACCAATCTTGATCAACTAAAGATTTAGCTGTAGCTGCATCATTATCAACAATGGAAGTAGTTTGTTCCGTTTCTATCTCAGGGTCAGGTTCTGGTTCTAGTTCTGGATCTGGTTCTGGATCTGGTTCAATTTCTGGTTCTGTCTCTACTCCTGATCCCAGTGTTGACCCTGGTTCTGGTCCTGGTCCTGATCCTGGTCCTGGTCCTGGTCCTAGTCCTGGTCCTGGTTCTGGACCTAGACCTGGACCTGGAACTGGACCTGGACTTAAACCTGGCCCTGGTCCTGGACTCGATTCTGGTACTGGTTCTGATTTTGATTCATTTTGTAAAGTAGGTCCAGAAACTACTTCATTTGTTGGAATATCTATAGAACAATGTTGAACTTCATCTGGAAGTACTTCTGTATTTTCTTCAGTCTCTGAAGTATTTATTATCATCGGTCTTGTTTGCATAGGGTCAGAATCACTTGATAATATATCAATTAGTTCTTGAGTTGTAGTTGGCAGTGGTTGATCACGCCCAATTAATGGTTCAATTGCTGGTTTACAAGAGTATGTAGAACCACAATCAGTCTTAACAATATCATAATGAGAGATTAATGTATTGTTGGAATCAGTAACAGATTTCCTAAGGGTTAAAGAAAGTCCAGAACTATGTGAATTAGGTTGTACTGGTGCTGTAGACACAATAGAAGATGTTAAATCTAACTGTAGATTTTTTGCTCGACTACGGGTAGTTCTGCGCATCTCTGAATTTTCTAAAGGTATTGACACTGTTGAGATAATAGGTTCTTGAGTACGAACTGTTTTGTGATCAGACTTTAATGTATCCACATTTAAATTTTTTCGTTCCATATCTATTTTTGTGGGGTTGATAAGGGGTGTAGAAATTCTATATGTTTCATGTTCTGGTTGCTGAGTGCTTTGCACATTTCCACAGACTAGACGTGCTGTACCTTTACATATTCTCAATACAATAGGAGGTTTGCCTTCTTCTCTAATAGGAGGATCATTATTGGTTCCTTCTAAAGTATCTGTTACTTTCCTAGATGGAGTATTTGATACTTTTGTTAAAGATTGTTTTGGTTGTGATGGTGGTGGTGGTTGTGGAGAGGTTTTTTGAGCACGTGCTCTACCATAATGTGAGTCAGGTACTTGTCTGTATATTGCCACATCCTGGCGAGATTCTTCTATTGAAGGTGGAACATTTCTACTCTTAAAAAATTTCTTAGGTTTAACAACTGGTGGTGTAACATCTGGTTTATTGTCAGGATCAGTTTCAAAGGAAAATGGATCTTTCCCAGAACTTACACGAGCATTCTGATTTCCATAATCAAGCTTCACTCGTTTTGCACCAAATGTATTGTGAATATCATCTCTCCTTCCTGTAAATAAAATGATATTATTATTATTATTATTATTATTCCTTAAAACATTTGTTAACTATCATTAAGTTTATTATTCATGTAAATGTTAGAATTGATAAATAAATAATATGTAAATAGCTCTACGTTGTACAAAAAAAGAACACAAAGACAGCATATTTCAACTACATAAAATAAAGAAAAATTTTACATTAAACAATCTTTTGATTATTTTTGTTGATAGATATTAAATGCATGTTTAATATTTATTAATATAAAATAAATAAATATGCATGATACATAAAGAATATATAACTTACATTTACAAAGGAAATACATACCATTGATATTTGTACTTCTTATGGATGTAAAAGATGTTATACCCCATTTTCCAACAGTACCTGCTGATTTAGCAGCGGAAGGTCGGTTGCTATTTTCTCTAAAAAGCTTATCAAATTGAATACTCCCTGGTGTCACACTACTGACCTTACGGCTGTAAGATTTTGTGTAACTACGGGACGTCATACTGTATTCTTTAATAATTCAAAAGTGTTCCACATCTCAAAAGACACAAATAATATTTCTCTTCATTTTTTAAACTTAAGCTTGGAGAAAATAAGCATTGATTGTTTGCACATTTGCAGAGAAGTGTTATGAGGAAGAAACCTCAGTTCATCGAAACGTTATTCGCGTCAATAATTAAAAATTTGAAAGAAAAAATCAAGAAGCAATATCATCCGAACATATGAAAGAAATAAACGCCATGTTTCATTTGCTATTTACCCCGATGCACAAATATACGAAACTGTAACTTCAAATTCGATTTATATTCAGAAACATTGTCTTTGAGATAATTATTCTGAATTCTATATTTGCACTTAGCTTTAATTATTATAATTTTTATATGTCTACATATAAGTTTAACTGGAAATATTAGTCATAACATGATCTTGAGCCATCTGTCGATGTTTTTCGTTTCAAGATTTAGATACATACCATACACAAAAAAACGAGTAATACAATACACAAGATTGTAATACTTGTCGTTCTACCCAGTAGGTAGAGCTAAAGAGCTGTCTTCTACTTTTTATCTACCTTACCGGTAGAAATTCATCCAATCAAAATTTATTTTCTCAATGAATGAAATTATTTTCTATTTAGATTTTAAATTTAAGAATTTCCAATTTTTGTATAGGTTTAAGAAAATTTGTTCATATATATTATTTATTGTATACATGTGTGTTTATATGTATATCCTTGATATTTTACAAATATGTATAATTTTTTAAAATTATTTTATTTAACATTTAATTTATTTCCAGAAATATTCTTTAAAAAATATTTATATGTAATATATAATTATTATTTTAGTAAAAACCTTATTTTTTTTAAATAAACTTGAAATTTGATTATAATTTATAATTATAAAATATTATATTTGTTTGTTTATTTTTTAATATTGAAATGTTATTTTTCTAATTTTCTATATTTTTCGATGGTTCAAATATCGCATGGGGATATTTCTTGAGGAAAGAAAGCCCTATTACAATACAATTATACGACAGCCAATAAAAACGGTATTAAGGTAACTTACTCTATAGTAATGACAGCTTGTCAAATAATATCCGTAACTGTCAAGTTTTACACATATGTATCCATATTTTACAATGTTTATTTCTTTAAAAATTACATATAATTGTGCACTTAGTTGTGCTGTTTTTATACATACTACATGAAATTAAATACTTTTTCTAAGTAAAACTGAAAAAATATATACAACATTTTACTTTCTCTTTCCTAATTTTTAGAAGACATCAAACCATAAAGTAATCTATGAATTTAGGCGTGTTTAACAGAGTTAATCTTAAGGTAATTATAATACTTTTTTATATTCTTATATAATATTTTAATTATTATATTTAATTAGGATACCCAAGGAGGAATGTATTCCGAATGGGCTTCTCTAAGTGTTTTAATTCAACAAGGATCAGAAGAAAGTCAGAGTGTTCTAGAAAAATTTTCTCCTGGAGCAGGAAAAGAAGTTGCCTTATCTATTGTACGTCAACTGGCAGCAAATCTTGGTATTACACAAGCAGCTGAGCCTAGTCCACTATGTACAGATAAGGAAGTACAGTGGTGCATGGAAGTAATATGTTTTGGATTATCATTACCTCTGGCTGAACATGATACTGTTAGAGATTGTGTTAATGTATATTGTGAATGGTTATCTGCATTATATTCTACACCAAAGATTTGTGTACCTAAACCAATTATAGACGATCCTAATTTCTATGCCAGAAAAATAATTAGTCATTTTCATAATTTATTTGTTCCACGAAAAGGAGAAGGTAAAATAAATTACTTTTTATCTTTCATCTCATTTTCTTTTCTTTTTTTTTTACATATTCTCAATACAATAGGAGGTTTGCCTTCTTCTCTAATAGGAGGATCATTATTGGTTCCTTCTAAAGTATCTGTTACTTTCCTAGATGGAGTATTTGATACTTTTGTTAAAGATTGTTTTGGTTGTGATGGTGGTGGTGGTTGTGGAGAGGTTTTTTGAGCACGTGCTCTACCATAATGTGAGTCAGGTACTTGTCTGTATATTGCCACATCCTGGCGAGATTCTTCTATTGAAGGTGGAACATTTCTACTCTTAAAAAATTTCTTAGGTTTAACAACTGGTGGTGTAACATCTGGTTTATTGTCAGGATCAGTTTCAAAGGAAAATGGATCTTTCCCAGAACTTACACGAGCATTCTGATTTCCATAATCAAGCTTCACTCGTTTTGCACCAAATGTATTGTGAATATCATCTCTCCTTCCTGTAAATAAAATGATATTATTATTATTATTATTATTATTCCTTAAAACATTTGTTAACTATCATTAAGTTTATTATTCATGTAAATGTTAGAATTGATAAATAAATAATATGTAAATAGCTCTACGTTGTACAAAAAAAGAACACAAAGACAGCATATTTCAACTACATAAAATAAAGAAAAATTTTACATTAAACAATCTTTTGATTATTTTTGTTGATAGATATTAAATGCATGTTTAATATTTATTAATATAAAATAAATAAATATGCATGATACATAAAGAATATATAACTTACATTTACAAAGGAAATACATACCATTGATATTTGTACTTCTTATGGATGTAAAAGATGTTATACCCCATTTTCCAACAGTACCTGCTGATTTAGCAGCGGAAGGTCGGTTGCTATTTTCTCTAAAAAGCTTATCAAATTGAATACTCCCTGGTGTCACACTACTGACCTTACGGCTGTAAGATTTTGTGTAACTACGGGACGTCATACTGTATTCTTTAATAATTCAAAAGTGTTCCACATCTCAAAAGACACAAATAATATTTCTCTTCATTTTTTAAACTTAAGCTTGGAGAAAATAAGCATTGATTGTTTGCACATTTGCAGAGAAGTGTTATGAGGAAGAAACCTCAGTTCATCGAAACGTTATTCGCGTCAATAATTAAAAATTTGAAAGAAAAAATCAAGAAGCAATATCATCCGAACATATGAAAGAAATAAACGCCATGTTTCATTTGCTATTTACCCCGATGCACAAATATACGAAACTGTAACTTCAAATTCGATTTATATTCAGAAACATTGTCTTTGAGATAATTATTCTGAATTCTATATTTGCACTTAGCTTTAATTATTATAATTTTTATATGTCTACATATAAGTTTAACTGGAAATATTAGTCATAACATGATCTTGAGCCATCTGTCGATGTTTTTCGTTTCAAGATTTAGATACATACCATACACAAAAAAACGAGTAATACAATACACAAGATTGTAATACTTGTCGTTCTACCCAGTAGGTAGAGCTAAAGAGCTGTCTTCTACTTTTTATCTACCTTACCGGTAGAAATTCATCCAATCAAAATTTATTTTCTCAATGAATGAAATTATTTTCTATTTAGATTTTAAATTTAAGAATTTCCAATTTTTGTATAGGTTTAAGAAAATTTGTTCATATATATTATTTATTGTATACATGTGTGTTTATATGTATATCCTTGATATTTTACAAATATGTATAATTTTTTAAAATTATTTTATTTAACATTTAATTTATTTCCAGAAATATTCTTTAAAAAATATTTATATGTAATATATAATTATTATTTTAGTAAAAACCTTATTTTCTTTAAATAAACGTGAAATTTGATTATAATTTATAATTATAAAATATTATATTTGTTTGTTTATTTTTTAATATTGAAATGTTATTTTTCTAATTTTCTATATTTTTCGATGGTTCAAATATCGCATGGGGATATTTCTTGAGGAAAGAAAGCCCTATTACAATACAATTATACGACAGCCAATAAAAACGGTATTAAGGTAACTTACTCTATAGTAATGACAGCTTGTCAAATAATATCCGTAACTGTCAAGTTTTACACATATGTATCCATATTTTACAATGTTTATTTCTTTAAAAATTACATATAATTGTGCACTTAGTTGTGCTGTTTTTATACATACTACATGAAATTAAATACTTTTTCTAAGTAAAACTGAAAAAATATATACAACATTTTACTTTCTCTTTCCTAATTTTTAGAAGACATCAAACCATAAAGTAATCTATGAATTTAGGCGTGTTTAACAGAGTTAATCTTAAGGTAATTATAATACTTTTTTATATTCTTATATAATATTTTAATTATTATATTTAATTAGGATACCCAAGGAGGAATGTATTCCGAATGGGCTTCTCTAAGTGTTTTAATTCAACAAGGATCAGAAGAAAGTCAGAGTGTTCTAGAAAAATTTTCTCCTGGAGCAGGAAAAGAAGTTGCCTTATCTATTGTACGTCAACTGGCAGCAAATCTTGGTATTACACAAGCAGCTGAGCCTAGTCCACTATGTACAGATAAGGAAGTACAGTGGTGCATGGAAGTAATATGTTTTGGATTATCATTACCTCTGGCTGAACATGATACTGTTAGAGATTGTGTTAATGTATATTGTGAATGGTTATCTGCATTATATTCTACACCAAAGATTTGTGTACCTAAACCAATTATAGACGATCCTAATTTCTATGCCAGAAAAATAATTAGTCATTTTCATAATTTATTTGTTCCACGAAAAGGAGAAGGTAAAATAAATTACTTTTTATCTTTCATCTCATTTTCTTTTCTTTTTTTATAATATATGATATATTTATATAACATAATATAAAAATAATATAAATGTAAGAAAGTTTAGTAATGATTAAATTTACATTGTATTAAATATATTTTCATTTAACAATTTGTTATTATCTTTTCCTTTATAGTCTGGCCATTTTTGTATCAGGATCTAGGTAATTTTGTAACTAAAATAACTACATTATTGAACATAGAGAATTTACATTTTAATAATAATTATAATTACTTAATATTTGTAAAATATTAAATATTATTTACAGGAACAGATACAATTAATCGTCAAGCTGTTTTATGCCATAGAGTACTTAGAACATTACAACAAATTGCAAGAGGTCCTGCTACATTAGAAAGAGAAACTTGGGAAAGTTTATTGTTATTTCTTATTGGCATTAATGATGCACTTTTAGCTCCTCCAGCAACAAGAGAAGATGCTGGAGAACAACTGTGTGAAAGAGTCCTAGGTGTACTATTAGAGGTATGTTTTTGTAAAAAAAAATATTGTTCATTAATGTAATAAATTGATATTTATATAAAAATACATTTAGGTTTGGTTAGTAGCATGTGAACGTAATTTTCCTTCACCACCATTATGGCGCACATTGAGAGAATCATGTCTTCGATGGAGGCACAGATTAGCATTGGTAGAACAATGGAACCGTGTTTGTCTTGCTCTTACAGCAAGACTCTTACAAATTATGTATGGTCCAATGTTTCCAGAATTAAAAATAAGTTAGTTATTTCGATTTATAATTTATCAGCAAGAGTATGATTATATTATTTAAATTGTATTGTTATATTATACATGTGATACATTTAGGTGAAGAAGATTCTCAACTTGTACCACCTACAATGTCAGATGAAGCAGTAGCACAAGCATGGTATAGACTTTTGCGGACTATAGGTGATCCTGTTGATTTATGCAGACCTGCTGTTATTTCACAGACCCAAGCATTTTTACAATATGCTATTGCTAGCCCAAATGTAATAGATCCATGTCAGCACCCATGTTTACAGAGTTTACCACAAATATTTTTGAAAGCCATTAAAGGTATAGCTGGACAAGTTGATGCTTTTCTTGGTAAGTGTAGACATATATAATTGAATTGTATAAAATTTTATAATATCCAAATATAACTGTCAATTTTTCTGGGTATTATATATATGCAACTTATAAATATAAATTGTATATTCCACAAAAAATGAAAATGATCTTCTTCAACACTTTTCCTATTTACTTTGGAATACCTATGATAGGATATGGAGTTTTCAACTTGCTTTGTGGTGATGGTTGCACGCAGTCACAAATGTTTTAGGAGTTTCACAGGCATGTTGCTGGGAAGAATGTTGTGTATCTACCATCACATGTGGATCTACTAGCACTGGAAGTGGAGGTGTAGGATGGGATAAATCAAGTAGTAAGGATATAACACAACCTTCTCCTACACCTCCAACACAACGCCGACTTGCCAAAAGTTTCAGTGTAACACCTTCTGCAGTGACTAAGGGTACTGAGCCCTTATCTTTTGGAGTTTTACTATTATATTTTGTAAAATTGTATATATATTAATTAAATATTTCTTCAAGCTTCTTTCTTTCTTATTATGTATAAATTAAATTCTAATTACAAAATGTTTGAAAGATATATTAAGTTATCAATTATAACTTATAATTTTTTTATATTATAGGTATTCCAAAAGCTTCTTTGATTGGTTTAACAACAAGTCGTGTTTCAAGTACACCACCTATGTTAATATCTAACTCAGGACCATCCTCAGCTTCAAGTACAACATGTAAGATTTTACAAATCATTTTTATTTAACAGTATAATTTTACTTAATGCATTATATAATTATCATATTTATAGCTATGGCTTCATTAGTTCAAGATATTAGACCTCCCTTAGCTCCAGGCCGTCCAAAATGTAACAGTATATTACATCTCTTTGGTGAATGGTTATTTGAAGCTGCATTTATAGGTACTGATGGTTGGTCACAAAATTTACCACGTAAGCATTAATTAATACAATATTAAGTTTATTTTTATTTTTTGAAGCAATATAAGCATTAATATTTTTAATAAATAGAACCATCAGGTGCATCAAAACGACCATCTTCGGTACTTGTTGAGGGTCCCAGTTCTTTGCAAGAAGCTGTTAATGATGTTCCACCAGCACTTTGTATTGATCGTTACGAATCTGGAAGAGCAGAAGCTTTAGGAGCACTGTGTCGAATATTTTGTGCTAAAAAAACTGGAGAAGAAATTTTACCAGTTTACTTAGCTAGGTTTTATCAAGCAATGAATCATGGTCTTAAAGTTGATGAAGTAATAAATTATTCACTATTATGTTGCAAGTAGAACATTTATAAAAATACATATAATATATTTATTAATTTTGTTTACAGTCTCGAGAATGTGGTGAAACATTAGCGAGTATTGTTTTGAATTCTGCGGATTTATTTCGTCTAGATCTAAATGGTGTACAAGTATTAGTACCTGCAGTAATATCGGCATTAGAAACAGTACTTCCAGAAAAAGATTTAAAACTTAAATCTAATGTTGTATCAAAACCAGACTTGCGAAGAGCCTCGATACATTTATTAATATCAATGCTAGCATTACCTCTGCACTTCCAAGTAATTAACATGTATAAATATTTGTTTCATTACGTTAATATTTTAATATAGTAGCATAACAAATAATTTTGTACATATTATACAATTTCTATTTTATAGAATCTTAATATCAAGGAACTTCCAACGTTTATAAGCCCAATGATTACTGAGAAAAACCATATAACGTTTGCACAGCTAAAATCAAGACTTATGAACTTGCTTATAAATGCACTACAAGTTGAAACTGATTCTCAGAATACTCATATGTTGCTAGGTAAGTTGAATATTTACTGTACTGTGATTTGTGTAATTTTTTTTTTTTTTTTTTTTTTTTTTTTTTTTTTTAGGTGCTCTTCTGTTAAGTGTACAAGACTCTGCAGCGGTAGAAGAAGTTGAGCAAGTTACGCAACCTGATACTATAGCACATGATTCTACTCTAAATTTATTATCATCAGGTTTGTTCTTTCGTGAGTTACTTAAATGATATTAAGTTGTATCTATAAATACTGAATGCATTGCCTTAAATATTTTTTTAAATTATTCTTGTAATAAAATTTGAAAATTAATCGCAAATTGCATCATTCCAGTAATAATAGCTGGAATTAATATTTCATTATTCAAGATAGCAACTTATTAACATTTATCAGTTGCTTATAAATTAAAATTTAATAATTTAGCCTCATATGCAATGTAAGATCATAATGCTTAACAT